GGCTTCTACTCCCTCTCCCCATCTCTTGCCAGTCCCCTGAGTGCAAATTACTTGCTGCTTAGTAACTTTCTGCTTAGCTTTTGCATCTTTTCTACTTTTCTCTGTCTAGAAAGTTCTCCATTCCCTATTAGCATAACTCACCCTCTCTTCCCAGCAAATGCTCTGCCCAAACTTAGAAAATCTCTAATCATCTTTTAAGAGTCACTTCGAGAATCATTCTTGCCTGACTTTCCCAAACGAAATGACAGCTACTTCTCTATTTTTTGTCACCAGATTGGCCTACACGCATCATTCTTAAAGCACTTGTAGCATGGTTTGTATTTTTATTTATTTATTTATTTATTTTTATTAATTAATTCATTTATTTTTGTTACAGATGTTTCTCCTTTTTCCCCACTGATTTTCCCCTCCCCCCTCCCCGCCCTGTCCCCAGCTTTGTTGTCCATGTCCACTGTTCATGCACACATGCATATAAGTTCTGTGGTTTATCTCTCCCCCACCACCCCCTCTTCTGGGGATTGTCAGTCTGTACCCCACTTCCATGTCTCTGGGACTACCCCATTCCTCAGACTGTTATGTTCATTATATTCCACAAATAAGTGAGATCATATGATACTTGTCTTTCTCTGTTTGGCTTGTTTCGCTTAGGATAATACTTTCCAGATATTTTTAGACTACATGGCCGATTCCCTCAACTAATCTATAAACATCTTGATGATAATTACCTCTCACTAGATTTTATGTTCTCAGCAGAGAGTAAATACAAGGTTTCTGACATAGAAAATGCGATGTAAATGTGTTACCACACGGCTAGAGATATAAAGATGGGAATTAATTTCAAACTCACATAATAGGAGGATAAATTTTTTACATGCATATGGTGGTTGATTTTTTAAAAAGTGCATACCTTGTCCAAAGTGAGAAGTGTCTGTGGGTGTATGTACATGTGTATGTGTAATATCCCAACTCAATTCTTGGGTTAGTTAAATAATTCTTATAAACTTTAGTTTCCTTCTCTCTGAAACTCTATGAAGCAGAGTTAATTATAGATTGTTTCATAGGATTCTTGGGAAGCTAACTCAGTAGATGTTTACAGTGAAGATACTTAACAAGGTGCTTGTATTTGTTTCTTGTTGCTGATGTAACAAGTTATCATAAACCTGGTAGCTTAAAACAACACAAATGCATTACCTTAGAATTGTGGAGGTTGGAAGTCCAAAACAAGTCTCACTGGGTTAGAATTAATGTGTTGGTTCTACTGTATTTCTTCTTGGGGCTCTAGGAGACACTTCAGTTTTTTCCAGCTTCTAGACTGGCTTCCTGCATTCCTTGGCCTGGGGATCCTGTCTATTTTCACAATGAGCAATGGCCCATGGAATCTTTTTACTGCGTGGCTCTGGCACACTCTCTCCCCTCCCTCTCCTTGGGCTCCCCTGAATAATCCAGGATATATTTTCCATCTCAAATTCCTTAACTGACATCTGCAGCATCCCTTTTGCCACGTGAGGTGTGTAAGGTAGCGTGTTCACAGGTTCTGGGGCTTAGGATGTGAACATCTCTGAGGCAGCGCTACTTGGCCAGTCACAGTGCTCAGTGCTCTCATTGCAGGTGACCAGTCAAGTCTGGCTCTTACTACTGGAATTCTAGACAGTTCCTTCAACGTTGTTAAATAGGGCTGAAACACTTGGAGCCAAACAACCTTGAAACAATGTGGTCTCCTATAAATACTTTAGCATGCACTCGTCACCGTATTTCACTCCAGAAGTGGGTTGTGATTCGCTTTTGAAAATGTCCTTAGCCATGTTGCTTTGCTGGCGAAAGGACATTCGTGCTTATTTAAAGGACCTCAGTGACCCTGAGGAAGACAGTTTTACTTTCATTACTATCACTGTGTAGTAATAACGAACAGTTATTGAGAACTTACTGTGTGCCAGGAACTATTTCAACTATTTATATATGTATTGATCTATTTGACTCTAACGACCAGCCTCATGAAGGGAGATACTTTTATTTCCCTTATTTTATGGAAGTTGAGAGTTTGTGCAGTTTCAGGATAGTAAGTGCTGGAGATGGGATTTAATCCCAGGTGACCAGGCTGTAGAACCTGCGCTGTAACCACAACCCAACAGAATGAAGACGGTAAAGGGCTGGACAACACTGGGAGAGTGAACGCTACTTGGAGCCAATAACTCAGCATGTTCACTGCTCATCGCGGTAGAGCTTGAGGGTATTGATATCGAGTTCTAATTTTTGTGCTTTTAAAAAAGTGCATAATAGACGACCAACAGAGAATTGAGAGTTGGCCAGTTTCTAGAGATGCTTGAAAACAAATTGTGGGGTGAGTTCAGGCTTTTAGAAACATGTCCTTTAGACTTGTTCTGTGTCTCTGTCTGTGTGTGTGTCTCTCTCAAAAATATACTTTAGGAACATTAGCTATGGAGACTATCATATATCATGTATTTCTTTCTAGTCTGCCAAGCTGCTTTATATGTAGATTTTAGGAGCAAGAAAACTGCCTTTTTTTTTTTTATTTTTTTTTAAGACAGTTATCTAAGTCAGTGTTTCCTAAGAAAGACAGTGTTTGAAAAGACTTCTGAGTGTAAGCAGATATTATTACCATTCACCACTGTGGTTAGGTAAAGAAAGATAAAGGAAAGATTATTGATAAGGCTAGTCATTACAAACAAAATGTTAAGAACAGCTGTGGATACTTCAACCGGCAAGGGTCAGCCTTTTATGTGACTTACTCAGGGACATAACTGAGGAACTGGCATTTGTAAAAGTATGTTGACAGAGCTGGGTGCTGGTTCACAGGGTGATAAGTAAATCTACTTCGTGGGCCTTATGCACTCAGTACAGCCTCATTGGTGGGAACAGCATGTTATGTGAAAAATTTCTGTATGCCTAAACAAGTAGAGAAGGAGCAAATTAACACGTGGGTGAGAATAACATTGTGTCGAATTGATTAGTAAAATTTTCTGTGTGAATGAAATGCATGTTATACAGTAATCAAGTCTATCACATATTTATTTTGATCCAGAACAAATTCCAAATCATTTGCAAAAACAATTAAATGAAGTCTCTCATTTCGCCCACTGCATCTGATACCTACTCATAATCACACAGACCGTTTGGAGAGAGTGTTACCTGCGCTGTGTGGTCATGGTTCAGCTTTGACTGCGATGTTTCATTTAGACTTCTTTGGCAGATGAAGCTGTTGACCTTAGTTAGCTAGAAAACAGCTGCTTTTCTATTTTGATTTGTCGTTAATGTTTTCCAAGTGTCAAGCACATGTGGAGAAATTTTTTCCATAGGCTGATATTAAACATTTTATTTATATTTCTTTTATTTTTAATGGTCCATACAGTGTTTGGAAATGTGAGAACCAATTAGGGCGCTCACTGTAAATGTTTTTAGAAAAAAAAATCTCTCTTGGGTGTTTCTATAATGGATCAATATCATATTCGTTTATTTTAGTAGCTACTCAACTAGAGTGCTATATTCTGAAACAGTCTGTTATCTATTTTGACTGAGTTAAAAATACATGATCTCTTTCTAATTTTTCAAAAGTTTCTGCCTGAAGTCAAAGCTCAGTGATTCCCAGGAGTCAGGTTTGACTCTTTATTTGGTCAGGGAATGAATACCTTGAGAAAATAACCAGTTGATAATCTTAATTTAATGACTGTTTCTTAGTTCTTGTAATTATATGTTATACCTTCTGGTTAAAATGAAGATAATTTAGTTTCTTTTTTTTTTTTTTTTTTTGGTGGGACTTAGAGTTTCATGTTTTTTTGTGTGTTTGTTTGGTATATATTTTTCCATGCTATAAGTATTGGTAAATATATGAACTCTATTGTTTTTATTTTTCTGTTATGCATAGTTCACTGAAATTTAGTGCAAAGTGTGAAGAAACGCAGGGATGAAGCTAAGGCACTATTGTGTTCTGTGGTGGCAGATAGAGATGTACAGAGCTCATGTCCTGGGTGCTGAATAGCATCAAATGATGGGAGGATTTGAGAAAGAGAAGGTAGGAAGGAAACACTATACGATTCACCACATTTTATTTATGTGTGGTGAGTCCCGGGTGCAGTGGAAAAGCCCTACATTCTTTGGGCACTGAAAACTTAGAGGAATAAACAAGTTTGTTTTTCTTTTCTTTTTTTCCTTTATTGATTTTAGAGAGAGAGGAAGGGAGAGGGAGAGACAGAACATCAATTAGCCGCCTCCCACATGCCCCCCACTGGGGATTGGGCCCACAACCTGGGCATGTGCCCTGACCGGGAATCGGACCGGTGACTCCTTGGGGCATGGGTCAACGCTCAACCACTGAGCCACACTGGCGGACAAAAGCAAGTTTCTTCACAGGGTTATGTGATTGGCAGCAGAAGAGGGCCACAGCTTTCTCTCTGTGTTCGCCTGGGGGGATGCGACTTGGGAAAGTGGCTCTAGAGTTTTCTTAGTATGTTTTTAAAAATAAATACTTCTAGCAGCACTATTTACAATAGCTAAGATCTGGAAACAGCTCAAATGTCCATCAGTAGACGAATGGATAAAAAAGCTGTGACACATATACACAGTGGAGTACTATGCAGCTGTAAGAAAGAAAGATCTCTTATCCTTTGAGACAACATGGAGGGACCTGGAGAGTATTATCCTAAGCGAAACAAGCCAAACAGAGAAAGACAAATATCACATGATCTCACTTATTTGTGGAATATAATGAACATAATAATCTGAGGAATGGGGTAGTCCCAGAGACGTGGAAGTGGGGTACAGACTGACAATCCCCAGAAGAGGGGGTGGTGGGGGAGAGATAAACCACAGAACTTATATGCATGTGTGCATGAACAATGGACATGGACAACAAAGCTGGGGGCAGGGCAGGGAGGGGAATCAGTGGGGGAAAAAGGAGAAACATCTGTAACAAAAATAAATAAATTAAATAAATAAATACTTCTAGTAATATTTTAAATATATATATATATATTTCTGTCTTTCAGGAACATTACAAAAAGCCTATTTTAAATCAAACGGGAGTGAACCTATGGCCACTGATGGTGAAGTTCAAGTGCCTGATGTTATTCTTACAAACACCCTTTACCACAAGAGCACCGTGGCATCCACGACACACCCCAACCAACACACTGCTGCCTGGACCACGGGCGCTGCTATCCCAGGGGACCAAGGTCATAGGAACACAAGTAAGTGGGAAGGGCTGAACGAACACGCCCTTTAATGTCTGTGGAAACACAGATAGATTTTTAAGTGTGGCGACAGATGCCCTTAATTCGCAGTCACTTACTGGTCAGCAGGCAGAGCCCACTTCCCGGCAAGCCTAGCGAGTGCCCCAGACACCACATGCGTCCGCTCCGCCATGGGACAGGGACGTGAGCAAGTAACGAAGAGGCATCAGTGTCATTCAACATTTCCTAAGCATAAACATGTTTCCCGATTGCCCCGGTACTGATTTTGTGGTGGTTCACTTCTAAAGTTGGTGCTTCTGTTTTGAAATTTTAAGTTATTTCGAAATGGTTGAATTAAGTTACTCATTTTGTTATGGGTGCCTTGCAGAAGGGATCCCAGTTCTGTGACAGACTGCCAAGTGACTTAACAGGAGCTACCCCCATTTGCTTCGGATGTGTCCATGTGGTTGTATTTCCTCACTCCACTCACCCCCTTTTATTGGCTGTGCAATTTACTGGACGTGTTGGTGATTGACAAGTCATCACACCTCGAGGAAAATGGCATATGTGAAATTTCCGCTTGAGGACAACAGAGAGATATGTCAGTTATTCCAGTACAGCGGCTGGGGGAGAGAGGAGACACAGTGTGGAGATCGGGTGGTTAGATGGCGGCACACAATGTGTGGCTATTCTTCAGTGCCCCTCAGATGTTTTAGGGAAGTTACTAAGCTTTCAGAGTGTTAATGGGAGTGGACTTGTGTGCAAAGTTCCAAAAAGTGTCGGCTGATCAAGTCAGGACCTACAAAACACAGTCAGCACTGTCTCTGTCAGGACTTCCTCTGCAGTTGTCTTGATTCTTACTTTCTACCTCCTTAAACAACGTTATGCAATTGAAAATTATAGCAAGCCCAGCCATCCACCATCATTTTCTTGTTTGTTCCTCCCTCTTTCATGAAATTCCACAAAGGGAAATCGCATCTGAGGTCTAAGACAGAGTATTTATTTTTATTCTGGGCAAGGAAGGGAAGGATTAAGCTGACTCTTAGCTATCACAGTGCATGTTGCCAGTGTCTGAAGAAAAATAGGATTCTCCTGTTTCTCTAGCTCAGTGGTTCTCAACCTTCCTAATGCCTTGACCCTTTAATACAGTTCCTCCTGTTGTATGTGGGCGTATCTGCATGTGGGCGGACCCGCCTGGAGATGGATAGAGGAGCCGTGTCTTCGTTCCTAAGATGATCCGAAATATGTGTTTTCTGATGGTCTTAGGCGACCCCTGTGAAAGGGTCGTTCGACCCTCAATAAGGGTCGTGACCTACAGGTTGAGAACTGCTGCTCTAACCCCAAAGAGAAGGCTGTTTGGATTCCGTTGTTGCACACAGCACCAACAGGTATTAGCTGTTTCTTAGACCTGGGGTTCACCAGTGATGCACACGGATCTGTGTTCATTACCTGACAGTAACACTGCACACCCGAATTGTGCCAAGTAAAATTTATTTTCCTCCTGAGTTTAATTTTGAGGTTTTTTTAATATTTTGGTCACGACTTCAGCACTTTATTATTCTTAAAGACGCATTTTTCCATCAGAAGCGCAAAAGTAATTTAAGCAAAACCTCAGTCCAGTTAATGTGGTTGCAATTACAGCCATTGTTATTTTCTTTTACTAAGTGGATTTGTCTCCATTTTGAAAGTTCTTTTATTTGTTACGATTCAGAGTTGAGGTGACAGACATATACCCCGAAGAGTAGAGAAACATATGGTACTGGTTGCTCATTTTGGAAGTTTGATGGAAGTCTGTTTGACTCATTTTTCCCTCCTGTGGCTGGGACATTGTTTGAGAACATGAATGTGATGTGACATGGAAAGGAAATCCAGGTGAAATGGGAACGATTAAATGGAGAGGGGCTGGAATTGTGAATGTGTGTCATTCTTTGTTGTTCATGTGCTTGACTCTTCACACTGAGTCTGACTGTCTGGCTGCATAGACCCTTGACAGACTGTCTATATTAACTAAAATTATTTATTGCAAGGGATTTGATCACTTTTCATGCATTCCAGTAATATTGTTAGCCTGTTATAGAGCTTTTGGTAGTGTTCAGGGCATGTTTGAATATTTTCTCTGTGGTTCTTGATTTTATGTTGTTAATCCTCACCTGAGGATATTTTCCCATTGATTTTTAGATATAGAGAGGAAGGAAGGGAGGGAGGGAGAGAGAGAGAGAAAAAGAGAGAGAGAGAAACACCAATGTGAGAGAGACATATTGACTGATAGCCTCCTGCATGACCCCAGCTGGAGCCAGGGATTGAACTTGCAACCCAGGTACATGCCCTTGACCTGGAATCAAACCTGAGACCCTTCGGTCAATGGGCCAATGTTCTAACCACTGAGAAAAACTGGCCAGGGCTTTTCTGTGGTTCTTATAATTCACTGATGAGATACACAAAACAGGCAGTATATATATATTTCAAGATATAAAATTGAGGCTTAGGGGAATTAAATTGACATATCTAATATCACTTGACTACTAATCGGTAGACATGGAATTGGGATTCAGATCTTGAGACTCCTCGACCAGTGCTCTTTGAAGCATTTCATGCATCCTCATTCAATTTTACTGCTTTCTTTGCAGTGGCAGGAGCATTACTGAGCCGATTTTAAGCTCCAAGAGAGTAGAAGAGTAGTCTGTTTTGTTTACTGCTGCATATCCCATGATCAGTAAAAAATGTTGAGGGAATAAATAATGAACTACAGTCATTTCAAAATTTTAATATCTGATTTATCACTTTTTATTAGTAATGCCTAAGCACAGTTCTGCACTTGATAGTTATTTAACCAGTTTTACTTAAAGTATCATTTAATGCCTGGTATCTGTACTAATACCTAGCAGAGAATTTGTCTGATTTCTGTTTTCAATGATTCTCTAATGAAAACATCATTTTAAATTCCAGGCATATGTAAAAGCTATTTAAGTCCATCGTAGGCCAAAAATACAGTAGCCAGACATTCTGTCCTACCCAAATATCCTGGGGAGAAAACCAAGGGGAAAACTCCTGGCAAAAGGTACCAGGAAACAGCCTTTCTTAAGACATTTCCTCAGGGTGGGGGTGGGGGCATCCTTTATATCATGCCAAGCATAGAACACTGCAGTGTGTGGAGTTTTAACCAGAACACCCCCTCTAACACCCTGCAGCAGAGCTGGGCTTTGTGAAGTGAAACAGCTTTTTATGTGACATCTGTTACTTCTGGAGTTTCATTAGTTGCATTTTGAAAACCAATTGTAACATGCAAAGGGAGAAGGTCCATAGTTAGCTTTCAGGCTATATTTCCAGCAAGGGATTTTTCTAGGTTGCATTCTGTATTTGGATTTTTATTTTCAATTCCATTCCTTATATATTTTATAAATACTTAAACATAAATTGAATTTTAAGGAAAGAGAAAAACTCTTTGGCTAACCCAGAGTTGTTGGATTAAAAATACTATGACACACAATACAATAACCTAGAAACTGATTGGGAATTAAAGTGACAAGTGTGGGTTAAGCAGAAAGCTTCAAATATCCTCTTTTGGGTAACTGGCTCCTAAATCTCCTATATCAGATCAAAACACATTGTACCTGTCATTGATGTAACAGAATGCTTTTAGAAATAAAGTCAACATACCATAAAATTCACCCTTTTAATATGGACAGTTAAGTGCTTTAGAAATATATTCACAGAGTGGTACACCCACTCTGTGCTGTTTAATTTTAAAACATTGCCATCGCTGCGGAAAGAAACACCATATTCGTTACTCCTTACGTCCCTTTCCCCAGCTTGTATATCCAAAACTAATCTACTTTTTGTCCCTATGGGTTTGTCTGTTCTGAACATTTTATATAAAAGGCACCATACAATAAATATGAATTTTGTGACTGTCTTCTCATCTCTTCCTTGGATATGGGCACAGCCTGGCACAAGTACCCGGCCTTCTAAGATCCCAAGGCCTATGGCAGAGCTTTTCAAGGCTTCTTTGGACATCTCATTCCCCAGTCTTTCCTTTTAAGATGTTTGTCAACCTCTTATTTCCAACAGGAATTCTTGCCTTGAGTGGTTGCGATAGTAAATAATTGCCGCAGATTGTGTTCGACAAGCAGCCTGAGGATGGAGCTGTTTGCATAGAGAGAGCTCTGAATCCGGTCAGGTCAGGCAAAGACCAGCCCTAAGAACAGATCCCTTCCAGGGAGCTTCCAGATAGGTTGAATGGGGACAGTTCTCTGGGGATGGCTTCTTGGGGAAGAAGCCATTCTACCCTCTCCATTGCCTCCTAAATTGCCAGTTTTCATAGTTGCCCTGGTCACAAAGCAATTGGTTTTTAAGGTCATCACAGAACTGAGGAGAGGGTGAAGGTAATAGGGCAAGTTAAAATGCTAAAACTTCATAGTTCTTACTGTGAGGCAGACATTTTTCTTGAACAATGAAAAATACAAGCCTTTTGTTAAACCCCATAGTTCTGAAAGATTTGATTTTGACAGTATTTTTCAGTATTTTTGCTGCTTTCATGGAGGAACAGATTTTGGAGGATCTCACTCTTTAACATTTTTCATTTTCTCCAACATTTATAATGGATAGATATGATTAAATTATACATTATAATACTTCATATAAATATCTCTAATTTATTGTTACAGTGACTGAACAGTATTCCATGCTGTCATTATACCATAATTTACTTTATTTTAGCCATTCTCCCAATAATGGATATTCACCTTATATTTAGTTTTTAGGGTTTTTTGTTTGTTGGTTTGTTTTTTCTCTCAGTGAATTACAGAATCTCTCTTCTGAAGATAAAATGATTTGGATCATGACAGTGAAGCTGTCTAAATAGTATTGATTTATTGGCACTGATAACTCTGTGCCAAAATGCTCTAAACACATACCCCACATTTGCTAAATGTAGAAAGGTTATGCACCAATCTAAAACCGTAAGGTTATTCTTTCTTCCTAGTTTTGTGTTTTCAACTTGGCATTTCTATTAGCTTGAA